TGGGTAAAAACTCTCTGCTTCGTAGCTCGACTTTAACAGGTAAACATTAGGTCCAAACAGAGCTGGGTTTCCAAGATAGTAATTACATACACATGCACAATGCACTAGGTACATAAAAGCACTGTGTTAAAATTTTGGCAATAAAAAGTTTGTAAATAGTAAAACCAGAAATTTTAATTTATTGATGCCAATAATAGTTGTTGGTACATTTAGATTATATCGAAAAGAAAAGGTTTGAATTTGTTAATATTAAAAAAGTGAAATCAAAACATGTCGGAATAATGTTTATCTAACTCGTTTTGTAGATCAAGGATTTGCAAGTCATGCTTTTGAATAAAGAAATAGGATGAATAAGCAAAATATCTGATTGATGAATAAATGAATAAATGAATAAATGAATAAATGAATAAATGAATAAATGAATAAATGAATAAATGAATAAATGAATAAATGAATAAATGAATAAATAAATAAAATGAATAAATGACAGAATGAACAAGTCGAGAAACCTGGAAATGAATAAATGAATAAATGAAAGGATGGAAAAGTGGAGTAACCTGGAAATGAATGAATAAATAAATGAAAGGATGGACAAGTGGAGTAACCTATAGATGAATGAATGAATAAATGAAAGGATGGAGTAACCTGGAAATGAATGAATGAATAAATGAAAGGATGGACAAGTGGAGTAACCTAGAAATGAATGAATAAATAAATGAAAGGATGGACAATTGGAGTAACCTGGAAATGAAAGGATGAATAAATGAAAGGATGGACAAGTGGAGTAACCTGGAAATGAATGAATAAATAAATGAAAGAATGGACAAGTGGAGTAACCTGGAAATGAATGAATTAATAAATGACTGTAAACCATATCAACAGTGAAAAGATTGTTCTCATTAGAAATTTCAACGTCTGTAATAGTGTCAGGATCGTAGGAAGAGGCGGTAATGCGTAGGGTGGTGTGGGGGAGGGGGGTAGGAAATTCATATAAAAAAGTAAAGTTGAGAGTGGTAAGTATATAAATTAAGAAAAAAAACAAGATATAAGTATAAAGATAAGTATAGAGATAATTATAGGGATAAGTATGGAGATAAGTTTAGAGTTAAATATAAAGATAAGTATGGAGAAAAAAAAGTTAGTGAACATTTGGGAAGGATGAACAGGAAGGAGTAAACAGAGGAAATATGAATAGAAAGAACGGTTAAAGGAGAGGTGATGTGATTAGGAAGAAGGGTAAATAGAAAGGTGATGTGATTAGGAAGAAAGGAAAATAGAGAGGTGATGTGAATAGGAAATAGGGTAAAAGGAGAGGAGATGTGAATACCAAGAAGGGTAAATAGAGAGGAGATGTAATTAGGAAGAAGGGTAAAAGGAGAGGAGATGTGAATAAGAAGAAGGGTAAATAGAGAGGAGATGTGATTAGGAAGAAGGGTAAAAGGAGAGAATATGTGAATACCAAGAAGGGTAAAAGGAGAGGTGATGTGAATATAAAGAAGTGTAAATAGAGAGGAGATGTGAATAGGAAGTAGGGTAAAAGGAGAGGAGATGTGAATAGGAAGAAGGGTAAAAGGAGAGAATATGTGAATACCAAGAAGGGTAAATTGAGAGGAGATGTGAATATAAAGAAGGGTAAATAGAGAGGAGATGTGAATACCAAGAAGGGTAAATAGGGAGGAGATGTGAATACCAAGTTAAGGGTAAATAGAGAGGAGATGTGAATATAAAGAAGGGTAAAAGGAGAGGATATGTGAATACCAAGAAGGGTAAATAGAGAGGATATGTGAATACCAAGAAGGGTAAATAGAGAGGAGATGTGAATACCAAGAAGGGTAAATAGAGAGGAGATGTGAATACCAAGAAGGGTTAATAGAAAGGAGACGTGATTAGGAAGAAGGGTAAATAGAGAGGAGATGTGATTAGGAAGAAGGGTAAATAGAGAGGAGATGTGAATAGGAAGAAGGGTAAAAGGAGAGAAGATGTGAATAGGAAGAAGGGTAAAAGGAGAGAAGATGTGAATACCAAGAAGGGTAAATTGAGAGGAGATGTGAATATAAAGAAGGGTAAATAGAGAGGANTTCTGAATTTAACGGACTCAAAATTTAAAGCAATTGATTGACTCTAGATGTTCAGGTGTGTTGCTCTGACGGTGACGGTCTTGCAGGATACATACATATATTTATTTATTAAAAAGCTCAATTTGGATTTTTTTGTTCTTTAACTTTTGTTTCTATTTTCAATTTATTTGATTTCCATCCTGTTAGCAGTGTTATAAACACTAAATAATCCTATTCCCTTACTAACACTGTATCAACCTAGGATGATCATTTTAGGTACTTGTGAAAGAGAGTGTTATCAACTATCTAAAAGTTTCTCTGCCTGAATCTTTTGATCCTAAACTTACTAGTTTCTTAATTCAAATTAGAGCTAGGATGTATATGTATAGTATTCACCCGTCTACAAGCCGATGATGAATATTATTTCTAGGGCTGACTACAAAAGTAGATCTAAAATCAATTGAGTAAAAGGAGAGAAGATATAAATTATAGGAAGATAGGTAAAAGAAGAGTAGATGTGAGTAGGAAAAAAGGTAAAGTAGAGAAGGTAAAAGGGTAAAAGGGGAGGAGATGTGAATATAAAGAAGGGTAAAGGAGGAGGTATATAAATAGGAAAATATGAATATGGAATAAGTACCGAAAAGGAAATAGAGGAGAGGGAGGGTGCATGGTTTGTATATTGTATAACAGTGCAGAGGAGTAGG